AACAACAACAACAATAACCATGTTTAGCTTAAAGTTGAGTCATGAGAATGGGTTTGTTCTAGTGCCAAAGTTTCATTCTATTATTAAATTGTGGAACTTTTATTAACCAATGCTACTGATGTAAAACATTGAAGGATATTTTGATAAATTTCCCTCTCTCTGCATTTCTTTGCTTCTTCCGGGCTCTATCACAACTCTGATGACACTGGACTCAACTTTGACTTCTTATACAGGTTGGGGGAAAAGGCACATTGAAGAAGGCAACACCCTTATGGAAAGAAGACTGTTCCCGCAAATGGACTCTGTGGACTGTTTATGCTGCTTGCAAACACCCATTGTATGGGAAGCCAGCAATCTGCTGGAATTCTGAAACTAAATTGTAGGCAGCTCTGGTGGCCTAGTGGGTAAGGAGTGGCACTGCTAATGCAAAGGCAGCTGGTTTGAATGCCCTGTCTTCAGTAGAATTCAGATTCTGAAATCCCACTGGGGAGGGCGTGTCACCTAAAAACAATAGCAGTGCTCTTTACTGCAAATCAGAGATTTACCTCTTTACTTGAGTTTTAAAATTCTTTTGTATTTTGCATAATGAAGTATTTGGCAATTCAACTTTTTAAACATTTGTATTAATGTCTTTATTTGAGTGAAAGTTTACAAGTTATATTGGCTTTTCTTGAAATTATTTGTAGATATTTTGTTTTCTAACATCGATTGACATTGATTAATTCAATGCAGCTTTGTACCAGCAGTCACGAGATTAGGAGATGTATTGCTCTCAGAAAGTCTGAAGTCAGGGATCTCTCAGAATTACCTGAGAAGTAATGATGTCAGTTTGAGGACAAAGGTGCACCAGATTCAGGCCATGGTCTTTTCTAGTCACTTGCTATTGCCAGTCACAGCATCTGAGAGCTGGACAATGTCCAAGGATGACAGAGAAAGAACTGATGCCTTTGAACTGTGATGTTTGAGAAGAGTACTGAATACCCATGGACTGCCAAAAGAACAAACAAATATGTCTTGAAGAAGGTGCAGGTGGAGTGCTCTTGCAGGCAAAGATGATGAAGCTTCCTCTCACATACTTTGGACACATTGCTAGAAATTATTCCTTGGAGAAGAACATCATTCTTGGAAAGGCAAAAAGAGAAGAAGTCCCTCAATAAGGTAGATTGACATAATGACTGTGACAATGGGCTTGAATATGTCAGAGATAGTGAGGGAGACACAGGACAAGCCAGCATTCAAATCGGTTATTCAGAGGGTTGCCATGAGTCTTACCGGATGGCGTCTAACAACAACAATGCATTCAGTTACAACATCTAATCAACTATTTTACTCTCCCTTTCTCCCTTCCCATCATAGATTGATTCTATGGCTATATCTTTCCATATTTTTTTATAATAGTGGTCTTATATAAGAATTATTCTTTTGTGTGCGACTGATTTCTATCATTCAGCATAATTTGTTCTAGATGCATTGCTGTTGTGCAGCATTTCACAAATTGCTGGTCATTTCAGTGATGCATGACAGCCCATGATATGAATATACCATAATTTAGCTGTTCATCCATTGATGGACAGTTGAGTTGTTTCCAACTCTTTGCCATTGTAAATAATGCTGCAATAAACATAGATGTGTGTATATTAGTTTGTATCAACGCCTTGGTTTCTTTGTGATATATAATTAGTAGCAGGACTGTTGGATCAAATGGCGTTCTGTTTCCAGCTTTATAAAGAAACACCAAAATTCTTTCCGTAGTGGTTGTACCATTTTGTATTCCCACCAGCAGTGTAGGAAAGTTTTAATCTGCCCACACCCTCGCCAACATTTGTTGTTTACTTTTTTGTTGAACTTTGCTATTATTGCCAGAGTGAGGTGATATCTCATTGTAATTCAACATCTTTCACATGTACATTTCAGTGATGTTGGTCATGTTGTTGTTATGTGCCATAGAGTCACTTGTGACTCATAGTGACTGTATGTACAACAGCCCTAAACCCTGCTCTATTCTGTGCCAACCTTACTGTCTCTGACACACCTACCCCCACCACCCAGTGACTGAATCAATCCATCTCATCAAGGGTCTTCCTCTCTTGTGCTGTCCCTCCACCCTCCCAAGCATGACATCCCTCTCCAAGCACTGGTCCTGCCTTGCAACATGCACAAAGTATGTCAGACGGAGCTTCAGAATCCTTGCCTCCAAGGAATAGCCTGTTCTCACCCCCTCTAGGATGAACCTGTTTGTTCTCCTAGCAGTCCATGGTATATTAAATACTCTTCTCCAGCACCAGAGACAAAGGCATCAATTCTCCTTCTATCATCCCTAGTCACTGTCTGATGCATAGCAAGTAATTGCAAAGACTATGGCCTGGATCAAGCACACCTTAGTCTCCAGATTGACATCATTGCTCTTCAGTACTCTGGAGAGGTCCCTGACAGCCTACTTTTCCAATGCAATTTGTCTTTTGTACCACCCCCACAACCATCACTATGCATGTCCAGATTATTCCATCACCATTAGCAGACATTCAGTGTCCCTAAACTAAGACTTCCCTTTTTTCTTCTCTTTGGTAATCGTGTTGTTGTTAAGTGCTGTTGAGTCGTAGGCGAGTCATAGCGACCCTATGAACGAAAGTCCTTGACACTTGCATGACTTTTGTCCTTTCTCCAGGTTCACAGGGTTTCCGGAGGCAAGTTCTTTATGGAAGTGGATGCCACTCCTGCTTCCAAGCTTGTTTTAACTGGGGAGCACCACCAAACACTGTCCGCCATGGGTAACCGTTATCACATTTGACACATCAGTGTCACAGTGTTCAGCTTCACAGCAACCACAAGTTACCTCTGTTCAGCAAATTGACACACCAGGGGCCTGAGGGCCGCAGATTAAAAGTCACCCATCTTTGGCTTGGTAGCATCACTTTCTGTCCACTAGGCCAACTGATCACTCTCTATGTTGATGTTATAGTAAACCTTTTTCTCTATTTATTGTTAAGTGGGAACATACAATGTTTGTCCTTTTATGAACCGTTTATTTAAATCATTCAACATTGTTCAAAGGTTATCAGTGTTGTAGCAAGTATCAGGGCTTCTCTTTATGACTGAATAATATGGACCAATTTTTGTTTGTTGTTGTTGTTAGGTGCTATTAAGTCGAGTATGACTCATAGCGACCCGATGTATAGCTTAACTGGACTCTGCCCTATCCTATGCCATCTTCATCATCTTTGATACACTACAGCCGATTACAGAAGTCACTATGTCAATCCATCTAGTTGAGAGTTTTCCTTTCCTTCACTGACCTTCTGTCTTTCCAAGGAATAGCCTCATCTACCTACATGTCCAAAGAATGAAAGACAAAGCTTTGCCATCTTTGCCACCAAGGAGCACTCTGGCTGCACCCACTCCAACACACACCTGTTTATTCTTTTGACAGTCCATGGATGTTCAGTGCTCTCTCCAACAACATACCTCAAAGGCATCAGTTCTTCTGTCATCCTTATTCACTGTCCAGCTCTCTAATGCATAGAAAGTGATTAAAAAGACTGTGGCCTGGATAAGTGGCCATAGATAGTTAAGCTGGTTCCATCTTTTGACTATTGTGAGCAATATTTCAATGAACATTGATGTACAAGTTTCAATTGTTGGATGTTCAAATCTTTCACTACATCTCCAAGGAGATGCCAGCTTTGGAAAACTCCTGGAAGGAGTTAGAAGAGCAGAAACAAGCAAACTCAGAAAATTGAAAGAGTTCCAAATGATCTGTGCAAAGCCAACTGGCCTGCCCTGAACATGAATTAGTGAGTTGCTCTGTCTACAACCAGCGTGACCACTTTCTCTTGGTGTCGGTCAAATACTAGAAAATTGTCAGATGGATGGGCTGATGTTTACAAAGCAGATGGGTTTTTTCCCATGGGACACATTTTTAATGACGTTTTGTCTTATGACATTGATTCTTAACATCAGTCTAAAGGCAGAGAGTAACATCTGAGCAGGGTCTGCCTGAATCTGAATGGCCTCCTCTTTGCTTCCTGTTTCTGCCTCTTCTGGACCCAGTTCCTTGGTGGTCAGTTCTCCCAGAACAACGTGGTTTCAAGTATGAAAAGCGGGATATGGCAGAAGATGAAGTGGCTCTGGACACCGGTCAATATCCCCTCAGAGGCCTCCTCCTCTACACAGGGTGATATCATTTCCGAGATGGGAAGTGGGGGCTGTTTGTGACAAACCTGAGGAAGAGCATGTAGAGGATCGGAGCAGAATGGTTTACTCCAAGGGCCGACTTTGGAATAAAGCACCCCTCCCTGACTGACCACTCACCGCCCTGATCCCAGGCTGAACAGCGTCTTTCTCTGCCGCCTTCTAGTCCTCATCCTTTTCCCCATGGCCAACAGCTTTGTGGGCCTGGGGAGACCAGGGAACTTGGATGGGGAGACCCAAGGGCCGAGGAGAGCAAGGCTGCACTGGGACGACCTGCTCGGAGCTGTCCAGCACCCCGAGGCGGGGCGTGCGCCGCAG